CCCCTCCAGGCACCTTCTCCTCCAGGGCCGCCATGCGCTCCTTGAGGTGGAGCTGCAGGCGCTCATTGGACTCGCTCAGCAGCCGGTCCACGGTATCTGACAGTCGCTTGTTGTGGTCCTCATTCATCTGCTCCCGCTGGCGCACCTGCACAGTGGGTCTTCCTCACACAAGCCACACGGAGGCCTTGCTGCCACCCTCACCCTCCCTGGGAGCCACCCGTTCCCACTGAAGGTCTACCTCCACGCCCCCCCATCTTCTGGCAGACCCTCTCCTGAGTCTCCCCCCTTCTACTTGCAGGCCTCCTTCCGGCCTCTGTGGCTTTGCCCCCAACCAGGCCCTTCCTTCCTGTCCCTTCCACAGATCATCCTGGGAGCATGCCTTGGGCCCAGCCTGGTCTTCTCACCCTTGCCAGCTCCTGATTCTTCTCCTCCAACTGCCCCTCCAGCTGTCGCAGGTGCTCCTCAATGTTGCCATGCCGTTCTTCAGCCTAGGGGCAGGCATGGGTCCATGCAGCCTCTAGGTCTCTGTTCCTCGGGCTCAGGCCCCATGTCCTATGCACCCACGTGCTATTCTCACTGCCTTTCTTCCCAGGCTCCCCCACCCCTGCCAGGTCTCCTCGCTGCTCCTCCCTGCTCAGGGCTAGCCTTAAGAAATCCTGGAGCTGGCAGAGCATGGTGGTTCATGCCTATAATCCCAGCACTTTGGGAGGCTGAGGAGGGAGGATTGCTTGAGCCCAGGAGTTTGAGGCCAGCCTGGGCAACATAGTGAGATCTTGTCTCTAAAAAAAAAAAAAAATCAAAAAATTAGCTGGGCATGGTGGCACATGCCTATAGTTCCAGCTACTCAGGAGGTTGAGACAGAAAGATAACTTGAGCCCAGGAGGTCTAGGTTAAAAAAAATAAAAAAAAAAAAGAATGTCCTGGAGCTGGCAGCTCATGAGACTGTAAGTCCTTCCCATGCTTCCAGAAAAACTCCACTTGAAAGTCTGAGCTACCATAAATCCCTATGCCTCCAGATAGATGGAACCACACTTAGGAGCATGGACTCATGCAGGCTGCCTGGGTTCAAATCCTGGCTACCTCTTCCCAGCTGTGTGACCTTGGGCAAGTTACTGAAACTCTGTGTACCCTCGTTTCCTCAACTGTAAAATGTGGATAATAATAGCACGTAGGCCTATTGGACCACTGCAAAGACTAAATCCACACCAAACAGAACATTGCAAGCACTCAACAAATGCTAACCTAGTCATGATTACTACCTTTGTTGTTAAACCAGTCCAGGTGGGAGACTCTTTCTGCTCGCATCTCTACAGAGATGGAGACCCTACTGTCTTCACTGACAAGATATTCTAGAGAACTGCACATCTCACTGTCAGGAGATCTTTCCTTAAAATGCTCCTGCTATGACTCACTGGAGCATATCAATCACTTCAGCCCATCCCTTCTTGTCAGTTTTTGGGAGATACTAAAGCTGACTTCTCATCATCCCACATGTAAGATCCTCTGCTATAATTTAAACACAGCCCTTCAGCCCTAGAGGTTGGAAAGACCTCAGAGACCACCATGTGCAATTCCACCATCATACAGATAAGCACTGAGGCCCCGTTGCAAGGGGGTGACTTTTCATAGGTTGTGGAGCCAGCCCATGACAGATGCAGACTTGATCCTGGGTCTACTGAGGCACAGCCAGGCCGTGGGTGCCATCCCCAGAGCACCTGAGCTGCCACACTGGTGCACTGGCTGGTCTCTATCCTTCAGAGGCTTCAGGGCCTGGTGCTTACTTCTCTCCATGGGCTTGGGCGTGGCCCCAAGGATCTCACATTAGGCTGACCAGCTGAAAACACTGCTAAATTCTTTTGATTAATCCACAGCATGTCTAAGTCCATGAGGGTACCTACCTCTTCCAGAACCTACTATGTTTTCAGCCAGCTCACCTCTTGAGAATCATTCCTCCATAAAGTTAACTATCCATTAGGTAACATTATATTCCCTTTTATTCACCTAAAGTTAAAGTCTGCACACATCTAGGGGTGGTCCTTATATCTAGAATGCTTCAACTTGGCAAAGAAAGATGTACCAGCCTAAACTCCCCCCAACCCACTCCCTTCAGGGATATACACACTTTGAACATATCTCCTCCAAGGTTTCATCTCTCTAAAGATGAAAGTCCTAATCTTTCCACTCCAGCCCCAGACGAAAGAAAGTATTAACCACAGTGGTGGGAAAGCTCATAAAATGAGCCTGCATCAGCATACTCTCCTCTCTCCTTCTTAAAGCACTTTTACACCCCTTCGGATGGGATCGTCACATCCCTGAGGGGTGACAAGGGCAGGGATTACTCCTCCACTGACAGACACAAGGCAGCGTGTTTCCTGGAGTCACACAGGGAGAGGTGGTTTCCTGGCTCCCAGCCAGGTTGGGCCTCCCATGCTTCCCATTCCCTGAGAGCTCGGGACGTGGGGGGCAGAGGTAGAACCCAGGCCACCAGTCTACTTGCCTTGGTGAGGGCTGCGATTCTCTGGGCCAGCTCAGCCTCCACCTCTGGCAACGTCTCTGCCTTCCTCATCGTCTGCTGCAGCTTCTGCTCTGCCACCTCCAGCAGCTCCTGTAGATGTCGGGCCTTCTCCTCACACTAGTAATGTGGGGGCGGTGAAGTGATTCAAGACACAGCACTGAAGCCCCCACCCCCACCCCAGCCTCAGCAGAGAGCAGACGACAGGTCGGAAGCAGCAAGGGACAATCTTGGTTCTGGGCTGCCCAAGATGCCTGACTTCTCCATTCCCAAGGTGACAGCAGTACCCCCAGGGTCTTCCGTGTCACCAAGGAAAGGTAATGAACAATCATGAGGACCACCAGGGTTAAGTTCGATGCCAACCTCCACTGCATCTAGAGAAGCTACCTGGCGATGAAGGGACTCCTTGTTGGCAAGCTCATTCTCCAGTTTGTCATTGAGGTCATGAATGGATGTGGCCTCCCGCTGAGCAGCCAGGTAGCGCTTCTCCAGGGTGGTGATGCGCTCCTCCATGTCCTCCTTCTGGGCCAGAGCCTGAGTGGGAGAAGAAGGGACGAGAGGCGAGGTCACCAGCCTTTCCCTGCCCCAAGCCTGTCTGCACCTCCCACCAACACTCGGCTGGCTGTAACCCAGAAAGGGACATGAGCTACACTCCCTGTCGGTTTCTGGCCTTGAGCCCCACCTCCATGACTCCCCCAACACCCAACAAGTGTTCAGTCTCACCTTCCCCATCCCTGGCCTGGCCACCCTTCCACACCTTCCCGAGTGCCAAACCCCTGCCCCCAGCAGGATGAGGTCACTGAGAACAGGCCCGGCCCTCGCACACCTCCCGGAGGTCCCGCTGATGCTTGCTGCTCAGCTCCTCTGATTTGATGAGGTCCCGGCGGGCCGTGCCTAGGTCTTCCTCCAGCTCGGCCACAGTGGCTGTCAGGGTGACCAGTCGTTCCCGAGCCTGGCTCAACTCAAAGTTCTGCTTCTCCAGGAGCTCTTGCAGCTCCTCCACTCGGCCCGCATCATCCTTCAGGGACAGGGGGCTCTCAGTCAGTCATGGGGCCCAGGAAAGTGGGAGGAGGGACAGCAGACACCCCTGCCCGCCCAGGAAAGTGGGAGGAGGGACAGCAGACAGCACACCCAGAGAAGATCCCAGCCCTGCCTTGCAAGAGACCCCCCCTCCAGGTACACCTTTCTTCCTCCGCACCCCAAGAGCTCCCTCCTGACAATGACCAAACCCCTAGCTCTCCCAACTATATCTTGAGAAAACAAGCTTCTAGTTTTATCTGCTATCTCAGATACTTCTAGCCCAGAAAGGGGCAGCATTAGGAGAACAAAGGTTCAGAAAGAGAAGGAATTTTGCTTGACGATGCCACAGAGGGTAGATAGTACCTAACAATTCAAGTGGACACGTGTATGATGTCCTAGGAGTGTGCTGGCCACTAAGACAAATATTTACAGATTTCTTTGCAGATGGAGTGGAGGACAGAAGGAAAGAGAAGTGGGAATATTGGGAAAAGACCAAATTTAATTCAAGTATTTACTCCCCTGAGCTAAGGCAGGGCGAGGCCTCCCACCTTCCCGTCTTGGGGAACACATGGCCCCTGCTACATAGCTCCCTGTGACCCACCTTCCACAGGCGTTTTGGTCCCAGCTCTGCAGTCCCCTCCTCTTCTGTCGTTCCATCCCGCACCCCTGCCCCTTGCTGCAGGGCAGACACCTGTAAGGCACAGCCCCCAGGGCAGTGAGTCAAAGAAAAGAGAACCTCCCATCTATTCCAGAACCCCTGAGTCCCCTGCCTCCTGGGAGGAGGTGCCCAGCCTAGCCTTGGAGAGCAGTCTCCAGACATAGCAGGGAGAAATCTGATGAGGAAGTGAATGGGGCACAGGGTAAACCAGTTGGGCTGCCAGGAGCTGCAGTCTGCAGACCGAGGGTGGGCAGGCAGCTTACCTGCTGGTGGGCACCTGCCAGTTGCTCCTCCAACATGGTGACTCGCTCTAGGGCTGCTCGGAGCCGCTCTCGCACCTACCCAAGGTAAGAGGAGACGGAAGAAGAAAGAGGAACCCCACTGGACTCAGGTTGGAGAAGCCTGGGCCTGATCTACCACTGCAGGGCATGAGGGAAGGCCAAGGGCCTTACAAGGGGCAAACTTACAGGAGAGAATCTAACAGGAGGACCTTGAAATTAGGCCAGTGGTAGCAGAAAAGCAGTGCAGCTAAAATCAGTATTCCCTAAACACCAGATGCAGAAATCTCAGAGAAGGGATACACAGAGACTCCAGGGAAACTTGGCCAGATGAGGAAAGGGAGGAGGGGCGGGGAAGAAGGTGGGCACCTTCTCATCCAGGGCCTTGTGGTGCTCAAACAGTGACTTAAGGGCCTTCAGCACCTCCACCTCACTGGAGACTCCCGAAGGTGACTGGGCCTGACGCTTCACCACAGTCATCCTTAGGGACCGTTCGTGGCGGGACACCAAGCACTCCAGATGTTCTAGAAGCAGCTGTCAGGGAGCAGGGAAGGGCAAGAGGGAGGGTTATGAGCAGGTGTCCCAGGGGCTACAAGCAGGACCTTCATGATCACTGAGTAGACTCGAGTCCACACTGAAACACTTCTACACAGGGGATGAGCCACCACCACCATTGAACACCCACCCCAAGCCGCCTGCCTGAGCCTTTCCCTAGGACCCCAGCTTGACCCAGCAACCACAAGCAAAAAGCCTTGCACTGGTGGTTAAATGATCTGTCGCCTCAGGATGGGAGGCAGGAAGACATCAGGAAGGGGCTGGGACTGTGCCTGGCCCTGGCCTTGCCTACTCTCAGGGTCAGGGTATTCACACTCCATACACACCCACACATACCCCCATATACAGAAGAATGAGCTCACACAAACACACAACCAGGTCATCCCCACTTACCCTTGTGTTATTCCGTTCTGCTTTCAGTTCTGATATCTCTTCCTCCCGCTCTAGAAGCTGCTCCCGACACATGCTCAGCTCCCGGGTTAAGGTGGCAAATTCCTGCAAACCGCCAAGACCCCTCAGTGTTTGCAGAGTCACCCCTAAGCAGTGTCCTGCAGGCTTAAGTCAGTGTGGGATCTTCTCACCCATCCCTTACTTCCACCACCTGCCCTCTAGAGAGTCCTGATTCATCACACTGCAAGGCAGTAACCCTGTGGCCAGTGGGTGCTTCCCCGGAGGGTCCATGGCTCTGGGACCTCCATGCACTCCAAGCCTGTGCTAGGATCCGAGGAAACAGAGGTGGGCACAAGGGTGAGACAGTCACTGAGTCTGCTCTGCAGTCCCTTCCTCCCCACCCCAGCCACCCATATGACTAGATTACGTCTTCCCACCCACTTGGCATTTCCATTTCTCCAGCAATTCAAGGACATTTTCCTTTAGAAACTGATGGAGGAGAGTTCAGACAGCTTCTGGTATGAAAAACTAAGGTCCAAACAGAAACTGATGGATATCATAGAGGGAAGAGCAAGGGGTTCTGAAGATAACATCTGAGTGAGTGCCCTTTTGGTTCCTTCTAGCTCCTCCCCAGGGTCTTGCAAGTTCCAAGTGGCCAGTAAAATAAGAGCATTGAAGGACTCACCCATGGGGGTGCAGGAGAGCATGCAGATCTGCCCCATCAGGCAGACACAACTTCCTGGGACCTCTGCTCAACCAAGCGGGGGCTGCATCTGGCACCTGATGCCAAGGCACTTGACCTGGCCTTACCAAATAGCCATATGCCAAAAATCCCTTCTAGGGGAACCCATTCCTATACTGTCAGGCCCAGACACCCTGGGAGACCTCTCCAGCCCACCCTCCTCCATCAGGATAAACACATGGAGTGAGGGAATGGCTCACAGTTCCAGATTCATCATGTCCTACTGATTTAACTAAATATCCCATCATTCCTGAAAGGTTTCAGGTGAGTGGCCCAGACTCTAAGAATACCCCAGGTCTGACAGCTACTGAACAGGTTGCAGCCCATCCTCACCTGCAACCTCTCTCACATGCCAAAGATGCTTCACCAAAGGAAGAATCTCTAAAGCAATCCTCTTTTACCATCCCAGATCATAAAAAGGGGCTGGAAGGGTTGTGGGAAGGGACAGGGGACCAGAGATGCCAGAGCATGAGAAGCCATGAGCCTCTGACCCTTTTCTGTAGTTTCTGCCTTTCTATCAAGGCCGCGGCCAAAGGCAGTCAAGGTCAAGCATCTCACACTCTGGAAGCCCAGGCCTGATGCTGCTTCATCCATCAGCTTATACACATGCATGCACACGGTCACACTTACACACACACACACACACACACACACACACACACCCAGAGACAGTACTCCACAGCATGCCTCCCAGACCTACACCATAACTCCACCAAAGGGCTAGTGTTCTCCCCTCCCCCACCCCCACACCAGCCTCAAGCTTAGTGGCTGCCTCAACTCTCCATCCGGGACACCTGTCCTTTCCCACCTACCTCTAACCTATCGGACACACCGCTGCCGAGATAATCTCCCAAAGCATGACGTTGTCTACAAATACAGACTTCTTATCCTAGTTTTCAAACTTGTCTCTCATGGTTGCCTTCCATACACCCTAAGACCTAGTCAACCAGGGTCACCCACTGTTTCTAAACACAGTAAGCCTTCCTAATACCTTCATTCAGGAGACTCCCCTCCCTGGAAAACCTAGCCCTCTGTCACCACCTGATGAAATCACATTCAGCTTTCAGAGCCCACCTCAAAGGATACAGCCCCCTTGGAAGCTTTCCAGACTCCCCAGTGGAAGGCTCTCTTCCTCTCCTGAAAACTCTTCAGAACAGTGGTTAATAGCATCAACTTGGGAATCCATGGTTCAACCACAAATATTTGTGAGCACTTACCATAGGCAAGGTTCTGGGCTGGTCACTATGGATACAGTGACAAGAAAGACATAATCCTTTCCCTCATAAGGAAGTCAAGTAGGCCTGGTATCAAATCTCAGCTCCCTACCCCATTAACTCTGTGTGACCTTGGACAAGTTATTTAACCTCTCTGAGCCTCATTCTCTAATCTGTATGATAGAGGGAACAGTCTTCCCTCCAGGTGTTGCTATGAGGATTAAATGAGCCAATGTATAGAAAGCACTTAGCCCAAGCCCATCAAAGGCAGCTATTTTCAACACTGACACTGTGCTTAGCAGCCCGCTTGGGCCTCTCTTATCTTCCTCGACATTCTCTCCCAGTCATGTGTGTTCTTGTGTGTCTCCTTTCTAGTCTGGGAGCTCCCTAGGAGCAGAGACTAGCTCATCACTCCAGGGCATGTTCTGCGTCTCCTGCACAGTGAGGGAGCGGGGGCCCATTCACTCACCCCTCTCCTTCACCAGGGTTCCATGTTCTTATCCATGAAGCATTGCTTCAGAGCCCTGGACAGGAAACTCGCCCACACAGGCCCAGCCCTGGCTGTCCTCCCCCTCCGTGGGAAGGGCTAGGCACTGAGGCCCGAGTTCCTTGGCTCCTCAGGGCTGCCTCCTCAGCCGCAGCAGCACCACTACTGGCCTGAGGGTGGGCAGAGCAATCCATTCCATGCCTGATTTGGTTTATTTATTTATTTTTTGCATTGGGTTCTCACTCTGTCTGTCACCCAGGCTGAGTGTCGTGGCACAATCAGGGCTCACCGCAGCTCAACCCCCTGGGCTCAAGTGATCCTCTTGCCTCAGACTCCTGAGTAGCTGAGAATACAGGCACACACTAGCACGCCAACTAATTATTTATTTATTGTAATGACAAGAATCTTCCCATGTTGCCCAGGATGGTCTTGAACTCCTGGGCTCAAGCAACCTCCCCACCTCGGCCTCTAAAAGTGCTGGGATTACAGGTGTGAGCCACCATGCCTGGGCTAGATTTTCAATATCTATCTCTGCTTATTAGAGGAGGTGGAAAGGGCATGATGGCCACACAGTCACTGTGAGCGCTGTGCTCACCGACAGACCCGTCTTGCCTTGGACCTGGTTACCAGGCAGAGTTTACAGTCTCTTTGACAAGCAACAGGCAAACAGCCCAAGAACCTGATAACCCAGTCTCCTGCTCCCTTCTCTATCCTCAGAGCCTGCACCTAGCTGGAATATCTACCAAATGGGTGATAGGTAGGAAGCAGCAGAGAGCTCTGAGACCAGTGTGGTTAAGGAGAAATACAAAATGGTGAGACACTTAGCCCCTGAAAGCACACAGCCCCGGGGTTTAATTCCTGCCTCAACCACACAATAGCTACAGTGGTCATGAGCAATTTACTAATCTCCCCAAGCTTGAGTTTCATCATTTGTACAATGGGATGATAGTAAAACAGGACTAACTTCACAACTGTGAGAAGTTACAGAGATAATTCACACAAAGTATGTAGTGCACAGAAAATACACAATAGGTTGGACATGGTGGCTCATGCCTACAATCCCAGCGCTTTGGAAGGCCAAGGCAGGAGAATCGCTTGAGGTCAAGAATTCAAGACCAGCCTGGGCAACATAGTGAGACTTCCTTGCTACAAAAAATTTAAAAATTAGTCAGGCATGGTGGTATGTGCCTGTAGTTCCAGCTACTTGGGAGGTCAAAGTGGAAGGATTGCCGGAGCCCAGGAGGTCAAGGCTGCAGTGAACCATAATCATGCCACTGCACTTCAGTCTGGGTGACAGAGACAGACCCATCTCTAAAAAAAGAGAGAGAAAGAGAGAAAGAAAATACACAATAAAAGGAGGACTGCATTATAGCTAGTTGTAGTGCTGTTAAGGAGCATGAGACAGGGTGTCAAGATGCCTGGCTCTAGACTCAGCTGTGCCTATAAGTTTCTATGTGACACCACTTGCTTTTTTCATCTGTGCAATAAGGGAGCTGGTCGAGATGATCTCTAAGGCTTCTCGCACACCCAATTTCTATGAGTCCCCACCCGCCACCTCCAGGAACAGGGTACTGGTGAGGAGCAGGCAGGAATGAGGTTTATTTCCAGTCTAGGGTGCCACCTACTGGCCTCCTTGGCTTACTGCAGTTTGTACCTAATGCTTGGGTTTTCTTCTTGCATCAATTCCATTCATTTCTCCAAGGGATGCCAGTCCCAGGCTGAGGAACTTGGGAGTGACAGGGGAAGCACTTAAGTAAGAAGAAGGAGGAGAGTAAATGCTCTATGAATTTCAGTTGCTGATTCGCAAACAGATGCAGAAGAGCTGAGGGCCCAGCAGTTGCTGGATCGAGCAGGGGCTAGGGAAGGGAAAGGGATAAGGGAATTGGGGAACTTGGGGCCTTACCTGGGGGAGGGCGGAGTTAAGGTGGCGCTGGAGCTGGTCCCGCTCATGTAGGGCATCCTGGAGCCGGCTCTGCGTGGCTGCCAAGGTCTCCTGACTCTCCCGAAGGGACTCCAGCAACTTCTCCCGCTCATCCAGCATGTTCACCATCAGTTGCTCAAAGTTGGCGTCAGCATCGGCGCCGTGGGGGGGCCCTAGAGGGTCCCCCTCATTGATAGTGGGCATCACCTCACACATGGTAGGTGTGGGCAGGGCCTTCTCAGCGTCAGGGGACAGGGGAGGGACTCACAGGGTTGGCACCTCCAGGGGAACCCAGTGCATGGGCCTCAGAGCAGGCAGTGCCAGGCGAGTGGACAGGTGGGCAGGGGCTCCTCCCATGGCATCAGTTGCTCTTGCTCTGAAAGGGGCCTGGAGCCTGGAGTGCCCCTGTGGAATGGAGCCAGAAGGCCTGGCTTAACCTCTCAGGCCTGGGGCTGGGTGCCCTGTGTCCCCAGACAAGCGGGCAGCAGCCGAGGGTGGCCATGACAGGCAGGGAGAGCAGGGCTGGAGGACGGCCCTTCTCTTAGACTGAGCGCCGGAGCCTGGCAGAATCCCAGCTGGGTCTAGCGACACCCATCGTTTCTGGAAGGCAGTGTGGTCTGTGGGAAAAGAGACTGCTGTGAGGACCTGCTGAGTGGGGAAGGGCATCCAGGGGACAGGGTGGGGCAGAGGAGACAGGACCTGAACTAGAGAGTGGGGGAGGAAAGGGAGGTGCTGGCGGTGCTGGCGCATGCCCCTTCTCCGGGCTTACTCACTCTGATGGCGCCTCCTTCGTTTTTCTTAGGAATGCACATGCCTACTGCCTAGCCTCTGTCTTCCCCCCAGCTGTCAGAAGTGCAGCCGCAGTGGCAGTGGTTCCCCCACCCACGTGGTTCGCTGGCCAAATATAGAAATGATTCAGTCAGCGGCAGGGTAGCAGCCGGCAGGCTGCCCAGAGTCCTCCTGAGACCTGGGGGTGGGAGGGAAGGATATGGGGTCTCTGGCCCCTCCCCTCACCACCTTCTTCCCCACAGTTAAGCCAAGGCAAGTGCAGAAGGGGTTAAAGGGCTCTGAGTGACTGTGAGTCCCAGAGGTTGGATTCTTGGAGTCACAGGAAACCGGGGCAGAGCAGTTCCTGCCCTGACCGCTGGCACAACATGGCTAAGGTGCCCAGGCTGGGCACTGGGGCAGGCAGAGAGCCCTGACCTGCTACAATGCCTATCATTCAGGGAGGAGGCGCTGGCTCAAGTCATTCTCCACTTCTGCAACCTGCCAAGGAGGACAGCACGCAGGCCTGGCAGACAGCAGGCTTGGATTCTGAGTTCACAGCCTCCCACCTCTGCACCGGAGCAGGGACAGAACAATGGCAAGGAACCCATGATTGACAAGGGGGTGAGGGGTATCATTCTCTGAGGGCGGGACTGTGGTATGGGGACCCCTATCATGGCTGGGAATCTGCCCCCTCAGCATAATTACTCATTGCTGGCACTGCCTGAAGTCACCAGCAAGGGTGGTTAGCACATGCATGGCCTGGCTCCAGTGACGCTTTGAGGCTGGCATAGGAAGCCCAGTGGTCAGCGCAAAGAAAGCTATCATGAGGAAGTCAGCATGCACCTGGGAATTTCTTTTCTTTTCTTTTCTTTTCTTTTTTGAGTCGGAGTCTCACTCCGTCGCCCAGACTGGAGTGCAGTGGCCGCTCCCGGCCACCGCAGCCTCGACCTGTCGGACTCCGGCGATCCTTCCACCTCAGCCTTCCAAGTAGCTGGAACTACAGGCGCGCACTACCACGTCCAGCTAATTTTGATTTATTGTGGAGATGAGGTCCCGCCAAGTTGCCCAGGCGGGTCTCAAACCCGCAGGCTCAGGCAGCAGCTGGGAATTTCTCTGCCTACTGTCGGCTTCCAACCTCATTGCCCCCCGCTAGAAAGCAACCCCTATCATCAGTTTTCAGAGGGGACTGTCTTCAGAGTCTCCAGTTCCAGGAGAGAAGGGGGATGAAGCCCCCAGCACAGCAAGGGGCACACTGGAGGTGGTGCGTAAATGGTGCTTTCCTTCCTCTTCCAGGAGACACAAGGAAAGACTCCTGCCCACCCCTCAAAGACTGGAAGGACCAGGGTGGACAAGAGGCATCAGGACCCAGTGTGAGGTGAGAGGCCAGACACTGGGGTGCCTGTGGCAGGACTGGACTCAGTAGGGGAAACAGAAGGGCCAAGCTTCTTCCACCTGAACACCTGAATCATCTCCCGGAGTACTGATGATTTTGGCAGAAGTAAGAGGCAGGAAGAGAGAGGCTGGGGAGGGATGTGGGGCCTGAATCAGATGGTAGAGCACCAGCTTAATATCACACCCATAGCCATGCCCAGAGGGGCCCAGTAGCTCAAGAAGGCACATATATGGGCACATGTGCTCATACACATATACACCCACACACAGAGGCAGACACAGGGAACACGGAGACCTAGGATATACACATATGTGGCCACACATGCTCTCAGGCATAGAAACTGGATTCAAACTCTGATAAGGGGGCCAGGTGTGGTGGTTCATGCCTGTAATCCCAGCACTTTGGGAGGTTGAGGCAGGAGGATTGCGGGAGTCCAGGAGTTCCAGACCAGCCCGAGCAACATGGCAAGATATTGTTGTGAAAACAAATGATTAAATAAATAGTTTGGTGTGGTGACACACTCCTGTGGTCCCAGTTACTCAGAAGGCTGAGGCGGAAGGATTACCTAAGCCCAGCAGGTCGAGACTAGCCACGACTGTGCCACTGCACTCCAGCCTGAGCAACAGGGTGAGACCAGCTCAAAAAACAAAACAAAAAAACTGATCAGGGGAGCCTTTCCCCAAGCTGGACAGCCACCGTGGAAGGCAGGGTCCTAGAAGGCCACAGAAACAAAAAGTAGAAGCCTGGGGTGCGCCCTGCCTCCTCTAACACTGCCACTGCCAGGGCAGCCCACATTCGCCTCCTGTACTCAGAGCAGCTGGGAGTGGAGGGGAGGGACTGCTGCCAGTCCGGCCAGCGCTGCCATCTCACTGGTGCTGGTGACGCCATTCCTTCAAGCTCTCTCACCCACCATGCCCAGACCCCTCCACCCTGAATGCTCCAGCCCTGAAGACTCAAGGTCCTCCAACCTCATCAACACCCGAGCCCACATCTCCCCTTCCCCGCATCCCTCCACATATACCAAGAAGACATGAGACGCCACAGAAGAGACCAGGCTGGGGAAGGCGCCCTTTGTGGCAAGGCTAGCCTGTGGAAAAGAATGAAGAGTGCTCAGCACCCCAGGAATTCACTCTGCCCAGCAGATAGATGCCCAGGCAGTCTGCAGTGCAGTACAAAGGAGGAACTCCAGAGCTGGGACTCAGGAGAGCTGGGGTGCAGTTCTGCCACAGACCGGCTGAATGACCTTGGGCCAGTCACCACCTATGGAGGCCTCCGCTACAAGATGAAACCCACAATCCTTGTTTTGCCCCCCTTAGAGGGATGAGACCACAGGTGAGCAGTAGATGGAGAGCAGGAAGCACCCTCTGGGTTAGGGCAGTCTGAATTACCTTCGTGTTGGGCACCTGCGGGTGGGGTTTTTAAAGCTCCTTACAGGAAAGGGGCCAGAGAAGTTCTCAGGAGGGAAGAATAGGACCTCCAGCTGCCCTCTGTGAGGTACTGGCAATTTGGTCCAACTTGGCCTCCCCAGATCCTCCTGCTCATTTTAGCAACTGAGAAGCTGGCTTTTGTGCCACCGGCCCTTTCCCAGCCTCTGTGCAAGCCAGGTACCCACTTCCCCTGGCCAAAGGGCACCATAGGGAGCTGGTTTGAAGATTAGCCCAGAGAGGGCTGCAGGCAGATGTCCCTGAGATGACTGTCCAGGTCCACCTGTGCCTGTTCTGCCTGCTGCACGAGCACAGTGAGCAGAAGGGAGCCCTAGGACAGCCGCATCGGGACACCTGCTTCCTTCCGGCTTCAGGACCATCTTTAAATAGCTCAATTATCATCTCAGCTTAACAGAAGCCTCCTCAACTCCTGCACAATTCTAAGTAACACTCACAGGTCCTGAGTCAGAGGCGAAAGCTGCCAGTCCCCAAAGCAAGCTCTTGCAAGGGGCTTTGCCGGGGAGGAGCGTGGGCAGGCTGTGAAGCAGCAGAAAAGGGCTCGAGCGTGAGTGGGTGTGAGTGCGTGTGTGAGGAGGGAGGGTTGGATGAAAAGCAGGCCTCTGGCCTTAATAAACACAGAACAGGCAACTCTGAGGCCTCTTTGGCTTCCCAAAAACCACCCCCATCTTTTCCTAACAAACGGGAGGGATGGGCACTTGGATCTGATGCTCTGGCTGGCCACACACACAGGCCTGGCTCCCTTCTGCCCTACCAGATGGCAGGCCCCACCAAGGCGAGAGCTTGGCAAAGGCAAGGCTGCCAGCCCCTGTGGAAGCCACAGACCGGGGCAATGCTGCTGGGAGCAGTGCTCGAGTCTGAGTGGTCCATGAGCTGGGCAAAAGGGGAGCCTCAGGGTGGGAGCCCCTTCAGAGCTAGGAAGTAATAGAGGAGGGTTGTGCGCCCACTCAACTGGAGGAAGGACAAAGGGCTGAGAAATGGGGAGAAGGGTGGCCATCCAGGAAAATAATGATGACGGTGGCCTATGATTTATTCAGTATTTACCATGGGACAGTCACTGTTGTCAGTTGATATGATTAACTTATTTTAATCTTCACAATTCCTTCCAAGGAAGCTGTCATTCTTCCTCCCATTTCACAGATGTGAGAACTGGGAATCAGTATCCTGTAGCTAAGTCTACACAGCTAACAAAGGAAGAACTTGGATTCCATTGTCTGACTCCATAGAGGGGAAGGGGATGGAGAAAGAGGGTCCTTTCTCCATCCCTTTGGACTCCTTCAGGTTCAAGGAGCCTTCCACACCCTTACTGGGGTGATGGCAGCCTGAGACCAGCTTCCCCAGTCCCTCACGTCTCCTCTCCTCCTCCAGCCTTTATGGTCATGAGGTGGCTACTTCCCTCCTGGAAGGCCCTATGCACCACCCACCCAAATCTCTCCCCCAGTCCCGAGCCAGAGTCTACAAGTTGTAAGCAGCTCCCCAAGCTCTCCACACAACCTACATTCCTATAGGCACTGCAGAAACAGACGCTCTTCTGAGCCACAGCTCCACTCACCCTGTGGGGCTTTCAGGTGCTATCCCCTCAGGGGACCTGAAGTCCAGCTGCTCCTGCTCGCGGGCTGCCCATCTCCACTTCCTCTCACCCAGAAGCTTCTCTTTCTCCTCTGTCCAGCTTGCCACCCCTTCTTCACTTATACTCTCCCCCGAAAGCCCAATCCTGACTCCTCCCCTGCTGCTCCCTGGACCTGCTCACTGGTCCACTCCCAGGGCCCACCCACTGCTCTGTTCTTCCAGCCCCTCACCTGGCCTGCCTCTCATCTCCCTTTCCATGTCAGTCTCATGAGCTGAGATCGCCTCTCTAAGCTCATCGCCAACACCATTTCCTCCACGGAGCTTCTTCTGATTCCCTCCAATGGGTGAGATCCACCCTTCTGCTGACCCAGCATAGCCCTCTATTCATACCACTCTTTGCTCTTTATGGGACTACTCTTACTTTACATCTTCTCACCTGCAGACC